TTTACTAGCACTGAATCAGCAATGACAAAAGTGCATGTTGATTTTAGCCATAATTTGACACATGTTGGTTTTACAATCCTAATTTCACAGCACTGAATCAGCAACGGCAAAAGTGCATGTCTGTTTTTCAGTCACAATTTGACATCAGCTCTGAAGCAGCAGTGATAAAAGTACATGCTATGAGCTTTGAATAACATTCAATATATATTCCACAACATTTAAATTAAGTATATTTATAGTTTGTATGGAATGTTTGAACTGAATTTGTGTTTCCCGTTTGGTTAAAGCAAACAACACAGACAACATAAATGTGACTGGCTAAAGATGGTGAATTGACATAGCTACATTACAGAATATAAATAAAATGTATACACATTTAAATAAGCAGAACCATAATGCCTTATCTGTCTTCTCTTTGTGTCTCATACAGGTGTCGATTTAACTCATTAGTAAGACACTTTTACTTTAACTAATAGATATGTGGGTCCAAAGTAATTAAAAAAACAACACAGTGAGGCAGAAGAGTTAAACTATCCACTGGTGGAGATTAGGTTAAAGTAACAACTGGGTTTGGCACATGGAGGTAATAAAGGAATAACATACAAATAGAAATTCTCTGTGCGGGTTCCAGGGCCCCTTGTGGGGGGGGGGGGGGGACTAGAATAGACCCACTGCCTCCCAATAAGCATGTCATAGGAGCCGACTAAGTGGAGGCATCCGTCAAAGTCAGAGTACATCTGCCTGAGAGGCAAGGAACCAAGAGTATGCATACAAATAAGCCAGATGTGTGAAACAGATTTGCACACAACATTCAGGTTCTAGACTAAAGGCTGGAAGTGAACAAACAACCAGAACTTTCCACTGCTGTTTACAGTCAGTGAAAGAGAAGAAGAAGGAGACAAACTTTCCACTGCTGTTTACAGTCAGTGAACAAGAAGAAGAAGGAGACAAACTTTCCACTGCTGTTTACAGTTAGTGAACAAGAAGAAGAAGAAGACAAACTTTCCACTGCTGTTTACTGTCAGTGAAAGAGAAGAAGAAGGAGACAAACTTTCCACTGCTGTTTACAGTCAGTGAACAAGAAGAAGAAGGAGACAAACTTTCCACTGCTGTTTACAGTCAGTGAACAAGAAGAAGAAGACAAACTTTCCACTGCTGTTTACAGTCAGTGAACAAGAAGAAGAAGAAGACAAACTTTCCACTGCTGTTTACAGTCAGTGAACAAGAAGAAGAAGAAGACAAACTTTCCACTGCTGTTTACAGTCAGTGAACAAGAAGAAGAAGGAGACAAACTTTCCACTGCTGTTTACAGTCAGTGAACAAGAAGAAGAAGACAAACTTTCCACTGCTGTTTACAGTTAGTGAACAAGAAGAAGAAGGAGACAAACATTTCACTGCTGTTTACAGTCAGTGAACAAGAAGAAGAAGAAGACAAACTTTCCACTGCTGTTTACAGTCAGTGAACAAGAAGAAGAAGACAAACTTTCTACTGCTGTTTACAGTTAGTGAACAAGAAGAAGAAGGAGACAAACATTTCACTGCTGTTTACAGTTAGTGAACAAGAAGAAGAAGGAGACAAACATTCCACTGCTGTTTACAGTTAGTGAACAAGAAGAAGAAGAAGACAAACTTTCCACTGCTGTTTACAGTCAGTGAACAAGAAGAAGAAGAAGACAAACTTTCCACTGCTGTTTACAGTTAGTGAACAAGAAGAAGAAGGAGACAAACTTTCCACTGCTGTTTACAGTCAGTGAAAGAGAAGAAGAAGAAGACAAACTTTCCACTGCTGTTTACAGTCAGTGAACAAGAAGAAGAAGGAGACAAACTTTCCACTGCTGTTTACAGTTAGTGAACAAGAAGAAGAAGAAGACAAACTTTCCACTGCTGTTTACAGTCAGTGAAAGAGAAGAAGAAGAAGACAAACTTTCCACTGCTGTTTACAGTTAGTGAACAAGAAGAAGAAGAAGACAAACTTTCCACTGCTGTTTACAGTCAGTGAACAAGAAGAAGAAGAAGAAGACATAAACATTCCACTGCTGTTTACAGTCAGTGAAGAAAAAGAAGAAGAAGACATAAACATTTCACTGCTGTTTACAGTTAGTGAACAAGAAGAAGACATAAACATTCCACTGCTGTTTACAGTCAGTGAAGAAAAAGAAGAAGAAGACATAAACATTCCACTGCTGTTTACAGTCAGTGAAGAAAGAGAAGAAGAAGACAAACATTCCACTGCTGTTTACAGTCAGTGAAGAAAAAGAAGAAGACATAAACATTCCACTGCTGTTTACAGTCAGTGAAGAAAAAGAAGAAGAAGACATAAACATTCCACTGCTGTTTACAGTTAGTGAACAAGAAGAAGACATAAACATTCCACTGCTGTTTACAGTCAGTGAAGAAAAAGAAGAAGAAGACAAACATTCCACTGCTGTTTACAGTCAGTGAAGAAAGAGAAGAAGAAGACAAACATTCCACTGCTGTTTACAGTCAGTGAACGAGAAGAGGAAGAAAAAGATATAAATAGAAATCTACAAATGCATGACGCATTTCTAGGTACTAAGATAATTAAGTGTATTCTTCTTTTTCAGAACTTGTATCTTCTATACTGGTAATTGCAGTCTTTATGTAAAGATATATTCGACTACGATCCATACTGGTATCGTGTAAATTAGTAAATTTATTGCTTCACTAAGTGTAATGAAAATTATGAAAACATAAAGTGGGACGAATTCAAGAGGGGTGATGAAATAAGACATGTCTGGGCAATCAACCTCTAGTATCAACAGTCATTAGACAGAGGATGGTCGCTATAATAGCCAAATTTTGAGAAGAGACAAACATAGAAATGCCAAAGCTAAACAGGCACTGAAATGGGAAACTAAGAGACTGGGGAAATGAGGAAGTCCAAGAGACACCTTAAAGCAAACAGTGATGACAGAAACCAAAGGTACCCCACTGGATCCCAAACCAAAGGTACTGAACTGGATCCCAAACCACAGGTACTGAACTGGATCCCAAACCAAAGGTACTGAACTGGATCCCAAACCAAAGGTATTGAACTGGATCCCAAACCAAAGGTATTGAACTGGATCCCAAACCAAAGGTACTGAAAGAAACTCAATCTCTTGCCAGCTCTGCTGCCTTGTGCTCTTTGATACCCAAAGTGTCACTCACATCTTGTGAACATTTTCCTGCTGGTCAGCCCCTGCCTCCTCTTTCCTTGCACTGATCCTTCTGCCTGCTATTATTATTTGTTCCAATCTGCCGTATACCATGATTTGGCCAGCGAGCAGCCAGCTGAATAGCCTTGGCCTATAGCATCTTGTTTCCATGAACTTACCTCAATACCACTATCATTCATGTCTCAGGCCTCACTTGTGACCATTTTTATATCACAGCAGAGACTCAATTTCTTCTACCCATCTGTATTTCACCACCAACAATGTCTTTATCGTATCTACCATCCTTCATCCGCTGTGTCTTCTATGCATCTAAACCTTGGAACGCGGCGTAATGAGAGCCCATTAGATAGTTCCCCGTTTCCTATTTTTAATTTTGTATATCCCTGTGGGTAATTTCATTGAAGAAAGCAATAAGGAATTGTGAACCTAAATTTTACAGAACAATTCTTGGTATATACTGGATATAAGATATAAGTTATATTATGAACAGTATCACTTGTCAAAAACTGAAATAATTCAGACATTTCAAAACTGTCAATGGTTTATAAAGATCTGTAATTGCAGATGGGCGGAGGGAGTAAAACAGACACCACTACAGAAACACAATATGACATTTAAACAAGGTATAAGATTAGCAAAAAACAGGAAACTACATCTAACTCCTCTCTGTGACACTGCACAGCATAATCAGCAGGACAAAGGAAGAAGAATGGCAGTAGAGGCAAACAAATAAGAGACATGTCTGGAAAACTGCTGGTATCAACAGCCATAAGACAAGAAGATGGTAATATCTTTCGCACATCCGAGGACAGCAGGGCAGTGAATCGTAAAACAAACACTAAAATGGAGAAAAGAAAATTAACTGAGAAAACAAGGAAATGCAAGAGAAACCTTAAGGAGAACCTCAATAAGAGGCCAAAGGTACTGGATTTCCTCTACAATATGAAAAAAAAAAATATTACAGGGTTGAACAGAACACATGAATAGACTAAAAGTCCTGAATGACGTGACACATAAATGGCACAACGTGATGTTGATGATGATGAATGGCAGCTTAAAGAACAGCTAGACCAAAACAAAGGTGGACACAGGAAACTGGAGACACTTTTGATGTGAAATAGGCAAGGCAGTGGAAATGAAAAGGAGTCCAAAAGTTTACACGATGATGTTAACGACTGCCTAAACATTTTCTTTTACCGATAAATTATAATAAATGCCATATAAATACATTAGTATGTGAACCTACTGACTAAATTCCACATACACAAAATATCAATATGATAATAAGATAATGATTCAATGCACATATCAAACTTGTTCACAATAAATAATATAAGCAACAACAACAAAAAAACACATTTAAGCAATGTCTAGTGTGTGACTTAAACAGTCGGGATGCAATATGAGCAACGTCAATCGGACCCAAAAATTTACAAACAAAAGAGTCATCTTTCATATCTGGCTTTTTTTTTTCTGTGAGGAAAAGTGATCAATTCAATGAATTAACAGCAAATGAACACAAACAAGGAACTCAAGTACATAAAACAACCAGAACATAAAGAATATATTATTAAAAGAATCTATCTCAGAACACAAATCCCGCTCAAAGTTGTATAAACTGACTTAGATCAAGAAAATGGTGATAACACAATAATGTCAATAAAACGACATGCACCAAATTAAATATGTGTGTCCCACAGTTGCATTCTCTACTTGAGTCTGTCATTTCCTGACACAACAAAATGAAAAATATAATAATAATAATTTTACGAAAGCACTAAATATTCCTTGGAACTCTTCCATGTCACAAAGAAAACTTCTTTAAGGGAGATGAACTACAGAAGCATCTTCAGTTGCTTCCGGAGTCACAGCTCTATCACTGTCATCTTCGGCATCTCTGAAAGCCTTGTCTATCTCACCTGATGACCGACTGCCAGTGACTTTTGCCTGAGGGGGAACAAATTATTCAAAGTTAAAGAGATACCAGGGTCAAGAACAAAACAGTCTGCATACATTTAAGCTAGATCTGTAAAATGGATGTGCACTCAAGTTCTAAAACCAAATCAAAGTACAGAAGTAGATGAACAATCACAAGTTTCTGACGGAGTTAACAGCCGGGGAGCGTCAAAAAGAAGATTATTCGTTAATAAAGAAATTTGTTGAAAATATTCAGTTGTTTTTATCTACAATTTCCCTTCTTCCCCCATCGTTAAGCTTCCTAATCAAAATCAGTGAATTCATTTCATGGAGTTAAAGATTAGAAGAAGACAGATAAGGAATGGAATCATCAGGAAACTTTACAGCCAGTTAAAAGGCTGAAATGATCCTGACACTTTACACCTTGTCTTCATTCTGTATCTTTCTTCTTCTGTCTATCTCTCAGGTCAGGTGTGTTGCCATATTCACAATAAAGGCCGTTTGCATTAGATCTCCGGGATTCTGTCTCTCTTACACTGTCATTCTATGACAGGCACACAACAAGACAAAAATTCAGAAGACAAACAACCAGGACTTTCTGCCTGAGTTTACAGCAGGTGAATGCCAAGAAGAGGTAGGAAAGGCACTCCAAACCATCTCTTCATGTTATTCTGCTGCATGTTCCAAAGCTATCAATCAGATCACAGTTCCCTGGTTTGAACTTCACAAAAAACTTGCAAAGACACGGAAACCACTGTCAGACTTTGTTACAGATTCAGAATATAATATTCCTGTGTGGGTTCCAGGCAGGACCCCTTTTATTTATTTATAAATTTATAATTTTTTTTTCATGGGTGTGGGGTGGGGTGTAGACCCACTGCCCCCTAAAAAGCATGCCATCTAAGAGTAACCAGGAGTTTGCTAAAATCACATGTTTCGGGCTGAAAGGCACAGACATTGCAGTACAGATGTAAACTAGAGCACAACATGATAAGCAGTTTTAAGGATGAAGTCAAAACAACATAAAGCTGGCTAACATGCTCCTTGACACAACTGGCTTACAAAAGTAGCACATAAATATACATTACAATATCCTTTCTCTTATTCATATGTATTATATTATTTGTCTTCCCCCTAAACTCAAAAAAACAAAAAACAAATGCAGACAGTGGTTTGAGGTTTTGAACAACGGATCAACATCATGGCACACGGGTAGTAACCCATAAGTGCTCTGTTTTTCTTATCACTCAAGTCTGAGTCCGAAGAAGCTCAGCACAGTGCACAAGCTCTGCAGCACCGGTAAGGATCATGAAAATCATTTTTGGGTGGTTTTTAACTCTAAATTTTGTTAGGGCAGTGCCATAAGGCTATTCTTTTCTATTTCTAATTGTCAAGGGATTTTTTATGTGCGCAGCAATGCATACGGGTGTCCGATCTCACTACCCAGAGACCAGGGAAATCACTAGAAGTCCATGTCCAAGTAAAAAAAATCTCACCCCTTACCTGGATTTAAAACCGGAACCTCTAGCACTCAAGGCAGACACCATACCTCGAGACCACACAGCCGGTCAAATGCAGACAGTAGTACAATAATACAAATTACAACATAACAATAGGACTATAATAGGCAAACAATGCCATTATTACATGAGGTGATACAGTTGCAAACAATCTAGGGAACATCACAGTAATAAAATTGTGCATAAAAACACTTTACACAATTTATCCCTCTATATTAACACTTTACACAATTGATTCTCCTATTTTCAAAATAGGATGAGCAAGTTATATATATATATATATATATATATATATATATATATATATATATATATATATATATATATATATATATACACACACACACACACACAAACATGATCAGAGAGAGGAGAGAGAGAGAGAGAGAGAGAGAGAGAGAGAGAGAGAGAGAGAGAGAGAGAGAGAGAGAGAGAGAGAGAGAGAGAGAGAGAGAGAGAGAGAGAGAGAGAGAGAGAGAGAGAGAGAGAGAGAGAGAGAGAGAGGATATTCACTAAAATGAGCATTTGGAAAGGAAGGAGAGTTAACTGTGAAAAACAAGATTTATTTAGTCCTAACTTCCCTTTAGTAATCAGTGTTAAAGTGTGAGTCACTGCACAAAGTATTTATTTTTCGGCCCAAGAATTTTTATTTCCATTTGTCTTACAGGTTATTCGCCTTTTTTCTTAAAAAACAAATTTTTTTTAAAACATTTATTTGTGATCTATGTTTTTAAATATTTTTTTGGGGAAGGGGGGGAAAGGGCTTGATTTTTTCAGCTTTCTGTGTTTTTTCCAAAAGGTTTCCAGGGCAAGAGACTCAAAGGTAATACATTTTACTACTCAGGTTTCTTTAATTCCATATAGCTTGGTCTCTCTATGCAGACTGAGTGGTTCCCAGCAAGACTTTTCCCAACGCGTGAGCCCCATACATAGCATCCGAAACAATTCTTACGTCTGAAATAAGTCCACTTGCAAACTGAAGGACTGACTCAAAACTCAAACCTACAACCTTCCGAGAATAATACAAATGGCTTAACCAATTTAGCATAGAGCTCCCCAAACATTACAGCATAAGACCAGAGTATGTATCCTTTGACACATGAAGATAAAAGAGGAAGTAAAGAAGATGACGTTCAATGGAGCATGCAACTACTGCAAATATAATGAAGGTAAACATTTAATGAAAGTGGAACTTTAAAATAATTTGGACACAAGAGCAAAAATGAAGCAGTTCAACCATCTCAACATAATTATACCCCTACCAATTGTCTTCTTCACCTCATCAATGTAAAGATAAGCAGGTATGTCTGGGCTATTCAACTATATTTACTAAGAGGCCAACATTTTGAAAATGTGGATCGCCACAGCCCACATGGGAGAGTCCCATCATAGGTAGATCATTCATACAATGAACTGGCAATGATCCCAGTGCCACTTGCTAGGCCTCGGTGGGCCACATTTGACCTGTGGGCCACTAGTTAAGCATCAGAGACGCATAGGACTTTTTTTTTTATACTGACCTTGGCATCTAGGTTGACCCAGCCTTAAATGGGTACCAGGTAAAGTCCTGGGAAGTAAAGGCAGCCGGCATAACATTTACCACAATCCCGACCAAATGCCAACCAGTCTAATAAATCTATGTCTAGCTTATACGCCCAGCACACCTGAAGACATAGAAAAGGATTCTTTATCTTTTTTTTTTTTTACTATCAGGGACTTCATTATTGAACTGCCTAAGTACAGCCCTGACTATTTCAGCACTGTCCATGCTTCTTCCCACCTGTAGTGGGGCCCCACCTGCAGCAGGGCCCCACCTGCAGCAGGGCCCCACCTGCAGCAGGGCCCCACCTGCAGCAGGGCCCCACCTGTAGCAGGGCCCCACCTGCAGCAGGGCACCACCTGCAGCAGGGCACCACCTGCAGTAGGGCACCACCTGAAGCAGGGCACCACCTGAAGCAGGGCACCACCTGCAGTATGGCACCACTCATAGTAGGGCACCACTCATAGTAGGGCACCACCTGAAGTAGGGCACCACCTGAAGTAGGGCACCACCTGAAGTAGGGCACCACCTGCAGTAGGGCACCACCTGCAGCAGGGCACCACCTGCAGTATGGCACCACCTGCAGTAGGGCACCACCTGCAGTAGGGCACCACTCATAGTAGGGCACCACCTGAAGTAGGGCACCACCTGCAGTAGTGCACCACCTGAAGTAGTGCACCACGTGAAGTAGTGCACCACCTGTAGTAGTGAACCAGATGTAGTAGTGCACCACCTGCCTGATGTTGCCTACATTCACCACCTTAACTTCAGCAAGACCCTGTTATTATGCTGTATGGAGTCATCAATAAGACAACAATGTGCAATTCAACTCGCATATAATGATATAACAACAAACCAAATATGAGGGAAAGTCAATAAGTAAGTCACAAATGGTTATGGGATGACAGAAAAATGTAGTTAGTAGTTTCTAAAGGTGTCATTAGGTGACCACAAAATCGAACTTCATGTCTCTGTTCATTAGGTGGCACTACATATTGCATGTGCATTCGCAACACTGAAAGAAAATGGTGACTGTACTTATGGAGTGTACCCTCAAAGAACAATGTGCTGTTGTGCATTTTTTTTTTTTTTTTTTTGGTTGGCGAAAGGGCTGCCTGCAAATAACATTCATAAGGAAATACTTCCTGTTTATGTTGAAAAATGTTTGTCCTGTAAAGTGTTGCATAGCTGGGTAAAAAAAACTTCTCAAGAACGCTCTAAAATAGTTGATGGAGTCCGATCTGGTAGTCCTGTTGAGATTGCAACAGATGCATCAGTGCAGCAGGTGGAGATGATTAAAAGTGACAGGTGAGTAATGGTTGACTCTGTAGCAGCTGCAATGGGGTGCTCACATGGTTCAGCATAAAATATAATGCCTGATCGATTGAAACTTAAGAAAGTGTGCTCAAGGTGGGTACCCAGACATTTGACGGATGAACACAAAATAACCGATTAGGCATGTCCTTGCAGCATCTCTGTGGATATGCAGATGAAGGAAAAGACATGCTCAACAGGATTATTACTGGAGACGAATTATGGGTGGATCACTACCAGCCCGAATCAAAGCCTGCTTCAATGCAGCGGAAACATCATTCTTTGCCTTGTGTTAAAAAATGCAAGGTTACGTCATCAGTAGGAAAATTATACTGACAGTGTTGTGGGATTGTCAAGGAGTGCTTTTAACCAATTTAAAAAAACAAAACAAAAACAATGACAATGTTAATGCTAATTCATACTGTAAAGTTCTATAGATGCTTTATGGTGCAATTCGAAGAAAATGTCCATGCCAGCTGACTAGATGAGTACTGCTCCTTTACGACAATGCCAGACCACACACGGCTCAGTTAACTCAGAAGAAAATTAACCATCTGGGATGCGAACTTCTGAAACATCCACCTTACAGCCCCAGCTTAGCCCCTAGTGATTTCCACCTTTTTGGTCCACTGAAAACCAAACTTGGCGGAAGACAT